GTAAGGCCACAAGCCCGGCATCAGAGAGGGAGGAGCGCCCAGCTTGGCTGTCAGCGTGAGGGGTAGGTCTGGAAGGAGTCAGGTGCCTGTGACTGATGCTTAGGCTCACGTGAAGCAGCACATTAGAAGCCTCTTCGGGCCCATCCTGCCCAGAACCTTCCCGTAGCCCCCTTCCAGCACAGGGCACAGGGCTACAGAAAACCGACCCCACAGACACAGAAGTGTGTGTAGGCTGGTGGTGCCCAGATGGCTGGAGGGGGCCATGGAGACTGACCACATGCAGAGACTGGAGAGAGCCCCCGTCCCACTCCCCCACCCAGGCCTTGGTTGAAGAGCCTGGTTCCTGAAGGAGCAGGGCTTAAAGGCAGTTCACAGACCCCAGGGGAAAGTCAGCAGGCCTGAGGCCTGGAACACAGGGCTGATGCCTTGCCCTGGGGGCAGCGGGGCAGGGCAGGGCAGGGCAGGGGGTGATGTAGCCCTGGACCCTCACCTCCCCCAGGATGAATGGGCGCTGAGAACCAGTTCCTAAGGGCACACTCTCTGCAGGATCCCCGCTGTCACACTGTCACGGAGCTGTCACCAGCAGGCCCTCCTGTGCAGAGGGACTTGGCTATCTCCAGTGCCCAGGTGAGTTGCCACCACACCCGGGGTGGGGATGGGGGCGCACAGCTGAGAAACCGGGGGCAGTGGGGACCCAGAGTGAATGGGCTGGAGGGCAGGGAGCGTGCTCTGCTCCTGCGGTTAAGGAGGCTCCAGGGCCTCGCGGATGAAGGGCCCTGGAGATGGACGGCATCTCAGGAGAGACAGCGCCCTCTTCATCCCCTCTTCATCGAGGGCCATCTCCAAAGGCCACCTCCCCAGCAAGCCTTCCCAGATGCCGACAGCAGAGAGGCTGCCCCGTCTCTCCCCATCCTCAACCTCGCGTGCAGTCTACGCCCGACCCTTCTCCAGAATGGGGCTGCTCTGCCCCTAGCCCCAGCTAAAGCTGTCGCCAGAACAGCAGGGGAAGGCTCCTCTGGTCTCCCTCAAGGTATCCGGTGTGGACTTGGGGGGACAGGTGCTCACTAGCACTCTACCTGTCAGACTTCCTGAGGGAGGTAGGAGGGAGCACAGGAAAGGTGGAGAACCTTCCAGAAGCTGGGACTGAAGTGAGCACTGGGGAGAAGGGTGTGGATCTCCTAGGAGAGCCACATCTCCCACCTCACACCTGCTTCCAGAGTGTTCACAGGCTGCTCAGGATGGGAAGTACCAGTCTACGCCTCTGGCCAGTCCCAGCCAGGGACAGCCACGTTGGGGCAAGGGAGGCTGGCCTCAGGGGTCCTGGAGTCTCTCTGGCTAAGGTCACCCCTGCTTCTGCCCTGAGGCAGAGTGAGGAGTACCCAGGAGGCAGACGGGGCAACTCCACCCCCAGGGTCCTCAGGGGTATCTGTAGGCCCAGGGTGCTGGCAGCAAAGGGGAGCAGGTGTTTACCTGGCTGGGAGAGGCTGGCTGCAGTTCAGGTCAGCTGCTCAAGCCACACCAAAAGGGAGTGTCCCCAGGGGCCAGCACCAGCAGTCTGTTCCTGGGTGCACCCACCCCCGGGTTCCCAGGGCACAGGTCAGGGCTAGAACGGCTGAGAAGCCTGCAGGTCTGGGTCCCCAACACCTCCAGAAGATCCCCCCCCCCCC